GCAATTAATATTCAATTTCCATTTTTAATTATCAGTCCAAAATTTCATAAAATTCCTAGTAAATTTAGAACAATCACTTGAGGGTCTAATATTTACCTAACTAAACCTGGCAACTTTTTCGCTAACTACTTAAATAAAATTGTGAACAATATTATTAAAGAGCATTTTTCTTAGATTATCACTAATAATCAACCTATTTCAGAATTTATTAAACCAAATAAAATGAAAAATCTACTTCAACTTTTGATTTACAAGATCTCTTTAATAGCAGTCCCTTTTCTAAAGTAAAAGATATTTTTTTGAGTTATTACTATGATTACAAAAATATCCTTAACTGCGAATTTGGTTATTGGAAAATTCTGATTAATATTTATCTTTTTAATAATTATCTTCAGAATGAAAAACATATTTTGTTCAAATTGATGAGATACCACAAGGATCTAATTTTTCATCACTCTTAGCTAACTTATTTTTACACTATTATGAAAACAAAATATAAAACTAATACATAAATAAACTAATCACATGGAATTCTAATGTTTCTAAAAACATTTATATAAATACTATTTTTATTTAAATGAATAGAATTAAAAGAATTCGTAGTAATGTTTATTTATCGAAAAAACAAATAGACGAACTCTACAAAAATTTTATTAAAAAAACAATGAATATCTAACTAATGTAATTAAATTCCTTATAAAATCATTCAGTTAATTGTATGTTATAATTAATAAAAAAATTATTAGAAATTTCTTTGTTAATAAAATTTAAATCTTTACCGTGTACAAATACAATTTAGGAAAATACGTGGTTTAAAATCTTCAAATATTCAATAAAGAACTTTGTAAAATATTTTTTTCCTTAAATTTTAATAATTTCTCTACACTCATTCATCACCAATACTATAATTAAAATTCAACCTTATTTATTATAAACTTTGAATTTTCCAGTAAAATATTATTACCTCGCACACATCCTGTTTCGGGCCAATGCAAGATACCTAACAAATCAAACATGCTTTTTTACTTCAGTGAGAACGCACCATAAAATTATTCAACCATTTTTTATTTATGATTCTATTTTCATGCTTTGTAATCTGGCAAACTTGTTGCGAAAATATTTTAAATCATTTTTGAAAGATGCCGGTAAGTGGAAGTACATATGAATTCACTTATTGCTTTATATGTTACACTGGAGTGCAAAACTTAAGCAACAAGTGCGTTTTTTGTCATAACTCTACAAGAAATCATCCGATTGACATGAAATTTGAATATGATGTAAATTTTTTTGTACTTAAACGATGGTAAAAGAATAATGGTGCAGAAATGAATATAAAGCTTAAAGTAGGGTATGGAACAAAAAAAGGCTTTATTTGACATATAGTGGCGTTACACATGATTGCCTGAAGAAGCGTAAGTACAACTGGCAGATGTTCCCTAGTATGGGATATGCCCTCCCCTTACTGTAATTGTTGCTTGGCATCGTCTCTCCATGCTAAGCACCAGATTATCCAGGAGTTCTTGGGGTAAACGTCTCCATTCCTCCTTTAACGCATCTTTCAGCTGATGGGTGTTACCAGGAGGATACTGTCGTGTCGCAAGACGTCTCCCTAATGCATCCCACACATGCTCTATGGGATTTAGATCTGGAGAGTAAGCTGGCCAATCCATTCGTGTGATATCTTCACTTTCCAGTAGCTCTTGAACATCAGCAGTACGGTGTGGCCGGGCATTGTCATCCATAAAAATGAAGTCTGGTCCAATGGCCCCTCGGAACAGACGCACATGGGGTAGGATTACCTCATTGCAGTAGCGGTCTCCAGTTACAGAACCTCGGTCGAAGATCTGAAGCTCAGTCCGCCCGTTCAACATAATGCCACCCCAGACGACAACTCCAGGACCACCGTAACGATCTCTTTCCGCGATGTTATTGGGATGAAATCGAGCTCCAACCTCTCTCCAGATCAACTGACGTTGAGAATCGCTTGTAGCACTAAAACGACTCTCATCTGTGAAGAGGACGCGACTCCATTGATGAGGTGTCCAGGTTTCGTGTTCTCTGCACCACTCTAAACGGTGCCGCCGATGGCTAACTTTTAATGATATGCAGCGTTCAGGAAGTCTAACAAATAAGCCACCTTTGTGGAGGCGTCTGGCCACTGTAAATCTTGATACTTGTCGTCCTGTGGCTGTGCACAATTGCTGAGATATGGCGTTCGCTGACTGAAAACGGTTTCTCTTCGCCTGGAGGACAATGTAACGGTCATCTCTTGGTGTTGTTTTCCTTGGACGGCCACCACCAACCTTCCGAAAAACAGCTGTACCAGTAGTTTTAAAGGCATTCCAAGCACGCGAAACAACACTTTTGTTGATCCCGAACTCTTCGGCGACACTGGTCACACTACGCCCCTCCTCAAGCGTCCCAATCATTCTTCCTCGAGTAAAGTCGTCTATATGATTTCTTGAAGACATGTTTCACAAAAAAAATCACTTGCACTTGCAGCGAATGTCTTTAACTACGGTGCTCTTCATCCTTTTATCACAGTTTTGACCTGCACGCGCCGACCCACAAGGTTTATGTACACTTACATCACCTACGACGTTTTATTTCTAAAATTTGCATACAAATAATCTTTTTACTGAATTACGTGAATATTATACTGCAATTTCATGGCTGTCTTATACTTTGTTGGGGAGCTGTGGCCGAAAAACCACTTGTTGCTTAAGTTTTGCACACCAGTGTATATTTTGCGTTTTATTCTGTATTTTCTTAAATTTTCAGTTTTTATTTTTTCGCTTGATATGCTTCATTGTGAATTGTCAGCTTAATTTGTTTATTTTCAATTTATTTGGTACTCCTCACACTATTGAATTGATATATTTTGCATATTTTTACAATATTAGAAATCACTCTTATACTAGATTCACAGATATAATCGTGTGAGCGCATGACGAGATTTGTATCTTTTCCTTATTTTTTCGGGCTTTTTATTTTATAAAAAATACTTTTAAATTTTTCTTAAAAATATTTTATTTAAATTTTTTTCTTCTCCTCTTCTAAGAACTCTTTATATTTTTTCCATTTTTCCTCTATATTAACTTAATTTATGAGTTTTATGTACTTGCATACCTGCCAACTTTTACGCATTTGGCGTAAAATTTTATTTTCATATTTAAAGTGGTAGTAAATATATACTTTTTCTTCTTTTATAAACTTAATTTTTAAATGATTTTGATCACCACTACACTTAAAAAATTAAGCATATATATAGATGTGTGTTGCTATCATGGTTGTCAGCTTAAGCTTTTTCAAATGCAACGTATTTTCTGGCTTAAAAATTAAATTTTAATTTCATTTTAATACCACTGGAAAATATCAGAATGGAAGGGATTAAAAGTTGGCAGTTATGTACTTGCAGCTTATGAGCTGTAAATAAAACTTATTATTTTTATTCGTAATTTTCTTCATTAATCTATCTATTCTTTTGTCTAATCTTTGCAAACCGCTTTATTCCTTTCATTGGTTTAGAATCTGCACTGTAATCAGCGTAAGGATTTCAAAAAAGAAGATCCTGACATGGTGTTAAGAAATTAATCATTTAATTTTAACAATGTAGAACCACTGTTTTTAAAACATCACTTTACAATGGACTGAACATTTTACATTTAGTAACTGTTTGACTCATTCTTATAATTAATAAATATCATAACACATTTTCGCTGGCAATTAGAGTATCAAAAAATACATAAAAGCGACAACGGTGTCCTAACTTCGTCATAATGTTACAACATAATTTTTATTAACACTAAATATTAAATATAGCTTTAAATAATAAATGTTCAAGAAAAATCCCACTAAAATAAATTAAATGAGCCTGTATGCAAGCAAGTAAGAAAACAAAACATGCTCTTTTAAAATACTTGAAAATTATACGGTTGTAAATTGAGAATTAAATATAGTGAAAAATTTATAAAATTAATCTTATTACTATAAAGTTAATCTTTATTTTAATGGGATGGGAAACAAATTGAATTTTTTTAAATCTAATGGTCACCGAGAAAAGCAACAAATAATAATAAATAAAAAGTGGAGTAATTTTAACTTTATAATTTGTGTCGGTGTTTTCATAGTGCATGATTTTGTATTTTTGTCCAGCACTGACTTAGTGATTCCTTTTTTTTTTCATCCCGTGCGATGAACGAGTATGCAGTTAGTATAATATTAAGTCATTATTTGAAAATATAGCTGCTCTCTATTAGAAAGATTTATTATGACTTTAAATCGCTCATAAATTTAAAAGAATGCATACTTTATTTTAGGATTTGCTGCTTCTGTTCATTACACAAAAATCTGGTTAGTGTTTACGTAAATTAGTTTAATACTATATTAATTAATACTTACTAAGCATTCTTTTTTTTTAAATTAGCTAAATATTTTTACCTGTCAATAAATCCATTTAACACGTTCACGCCGGGTGTTGCGCCTGAAAGCAGGACAGAAAGGAGAAAATACTGGTAGAAGAACTATTTCAATATTAGATAATATTCGGGAGGAGTTAATCTATTCTCAACAATAACAATTCACTGTAAGGAAATTTATCACAGCGAAGAAGCAATTCAATATAAAAATTGCATCCGTTAAAAACAATTGGTAGTTATGGATTTTTATTATTCCCGGAAAAAAACTAAAAAATGAAATTTATTTGTTACCAGTTTTTACTCCGGTGTGCTGCCAAGATGAGACAATCTAGCGTGTCCCACCAGTGGGTCACCCCGGCTTGAACGTGTTAAGTGAGATGAAAATAGAGAGCTTTTGCATGGCATTTGCCGTTGGTTAACAGTAACTTTTTTACGCATTAGAAGACAAGATGATTCGCAAAAAAAATTTTTGCACATGCTCAGTGAAGCTCAACTAGTGTTAAGAAGGAACAAAGAAAGAAAAGGAATTAAATTACCCTTACCTGAAACTGTGTATAAGTGTCATATGAATTCTATGTTTGCAATGTTTCAAAACAATTTATTGAAATCAATATATTACTATAGTTTATTATGTTACAGTTTTTTTTAATTCAATAAATGACTAATGATTGATAGACTATCAAAGGCTGAAACAGCTTGAAAGTCAACGATGCCTTTAAAGGCAGCACGAATGAAGAATGGACAGGCACTTCTCAAAAGAAGACGTCTTGAAAAATTATATCTGTCATATTCAAGCAATTCAATATTCATGTAGCAATTCATTCTTCCTAATAACAATTTCATTTACTGCATTGACTGGCATAATTTCTTTTCTCAGTTTTCCATCCGAGAATGCTTTCTCTAATGCCATTAAAGGCGATTCAAAGAATAAACCTAGCACAAAAGCTGTCAAGAAACTGAGGATCATATTGTTGAAAAATATGAAGATCTGGAAAGCAGAAAGATAAGAATTAGTAAATATGATATAAAAAGTTAGGGAAAAATTATAGAAATAATTCTATGCTAAATCTAAGTAAACAATCATTTTTTCAATTTGCCAAATATTTTGAAAGATTTTACGAGGCAAAACTGTTGGCACAGTTTGAAAGATCATGCTAGAAGCATTTAGAAGTGGAGTCCTTTCTATTCATACAAAATTTACATCGTCCAAAATGAGCGTAAGAAGTTTAAAGCTTTTCTTTTTCAATACTGCTATAATTTAAAAAAGCATTCTAATATGGAATTTGCAATCCTAAAGAGCAATTGCTCCCCAACCTTTTTGTTGCCGCTGACCTGTCAACGTTTGATAATTTTTACCACTGCCCACTGAGGGGAGGGGCAGAAGTTAGTTGTTTAAACTTTAAATGGTTCTGATTTGATTTATTAATTTTGATTTATTTATACTTAAAAATGCCTTCAAAAAAATATAGTTAAATACGTGATATTAATACGGATTTAGATGCCGTCTTGTCTGTTCTCAATTAACCTCTCATCTATAAAATTACTACTATTACCTATTATTTATTTTTTGTATAAATGTATATTTTGCATCCTTGTATAATGTGGCTCGTTCTTTCGCAAACATTTTCCGATAGACCTGATTTACTGCCTCGATTCTAGACACATACTGGCAATAAAGTGGAGTAAGTTGACAAGTACTTCATTAATCAACTTAAAATAAACAAGAACTTAGTTATGTTTTTACGTTTTGATGAAATGTTATAAAAAAAATTCTATGTGTTTCATAAGTTTTTGCTACTAAGGTACTTTATTTGACGTATTTTTTTTAACCCCTTAACAATCGGTGAATTTTCAAGAAAACGGTCATAAAAGTGCCTATTTTTTTATCCCTGAAAATTATATAAAAATATGTGTATGAACAATATATATATATTCATTTTTAATATTTGGTTTGTTTTTATCTTGAAATTTTAAAAAAAAAAGTTAAGTTTTTAGGAAAAGCCAACATTTAGGGTTACTGCGACTTAATGTTGGTTTTCCAGCAGGAAAGGAAAATTTAAAAAATATCCGGTCAAAAGAAAAGAATTAGTTTCATTCCTATTGGCTCGTTACTACTGAACACTCCAGCCCATCGATATCACGGGAGCGAGAAATAGAGGGTGAAACCTCACCCCGTCATTTTCACGGGAACGAGAAGGAGGTGGTAAAAGATTTTGTTTATTTAATAGTCCTTTTTGTACAGGATCTTACCATAGTCCGATGTCCTAACAGCATTGACTGCCTTATGGACCCAGTATAAATATACATTAGACCATAATGAACGAGGTACACCAGGTAAGTCAATCTGGCGAATGGTACAAAGCCTTCCCAACTCAGAATACTATTGATGATTCCTGAAAAATAAAATAAAAGCTATTATTGCTCCATTTTGACCAAGCTTTCTTTTAAAAAGAATGTTCTATTTTTCGAAAAGAAGTTAAATGGGCTATCACGAAATATTCATAATCAGAGTTTATTTTGCATAAATCAGACAGTTCATCTAACATAATAACTAAAGTTAACCCACCACTGTGTATTTTCAAAGCTAAGGTGGTCGAAAAGATGTTACTTCTTCCTGAAAGTTCTGAGCCCGGAAGTGTGCTTCCTGTTATAGGTTCTTTTACAACAGATAGTGGTAGGGTATTTAACCTTTGAAACTCAATGCTAATATTCAATTTTTAAAAAAAAAACAGCATATACGGCGCAAAAGAGCATGGTGCATGCTCATATAAACTTGTAACGAAATTATCCCACAAAACTAAGCGGTACACTTAATGTAAACGTTACTATGAATGACCAAAATTTGTGGTTGTTGACACCCACCGGTGAATGTAAACAATCACATTGCAGCTTTGGTAAATGTCCGAAATATATTCTAGGTCTAATTAAGTGCCACTGCCAGGAATACATTTGCCCTACATCAATGTTTTTTAAAGTCAAATGCCACTGCCCAGTATGCCTTTAACCGTTATTCCAAACGCTGATGTTTCTCCTAATTTATCCTCGGCAGATATTAAAATATCGAATAAATATAATAATATCTACGAGTAAATTACTATCAATTCGGATGAAACAAATATTTCTGACATTCACCAAATAAACTAAGTGATTGTTGACATTCACCGGTGAAAGTCGACATTTTCTTGATTTCAGTCACTCACAGTAGCATATACATTTAAGAGTTAAACGCCCTACCTTTTTATTTTACAAAGACATCTTTTGCATCCTTGTATCATGGGACGAGTTTTTTCACTGATAGAATTTTCCGTAGAATTAATATTAATTAAATGTAAGTAAATCTGAACTATTACATCGATTTTTAAGATCATTTTACGCATCATTATTTCATTCGAGACCCTGTACTTTAATATGCTGTTTGAACTAATGTAAACGCTAAATCATTATATACCGTGTGGAACCGCTTAGTGGAGAGAAGATGTTGCTCGCCAGAGCTGGTGGTATCTCGTCTTCTGGCATCGATCATGGACAGATATCAAACTTACTTCAGACGTACCTTAACGACGATGAGCTAAAGGTTACGCTGTTTTAATTCTCAGAACAGGAACATCGAAGTTATTTCTTATGGGAGATATTTCTAAGTTGCCATAGCTAAAAGATTTCTCTGGACTCCAAATACATCACAAATTCTTTTATTTAACTGTCATATTTATTAATAGAGTACATCTACTGTTCATGAATTGTAGAAAAAAAAATTATCAAGTTCAACACGTGGACTACGTCCTCCCTGTGAGCTCCAGGGAGTATAAAAATATTAATTTATGTAATTAGCATATTTGAGACTGTTGCAATTAAATTTACGAAATAGATAATTTGCGATTTGTTGAATTTATGATGGTGAAAAAATAAAACTATGATGAATTATTACAAACTTGGAGCACACAGGGGGAAAAAATCAAACACGCAGCTCAAAAAAGGAAGAAGCTGTACTCTCGAGATCTACGGGGAATACTGGTCTATCTCCAAAAGATAGCGTCCTGTTCTTGGCGGTTGCGAGAATCTCTAAAGACAAGCTAGGAGTCGAGCCCTAGAGATCTCTCAAAGGGAACGAAGAGGGCGTTCCTGTTGGAGACAGCCCAGTAGGTACTCAGAAAGATAAACATTGTGGTGATCCCATGATCACACTACACTATAAACAATATTTTAATATACTTTTAAACTTTATAAAATAATGTGGTTACTAATTATGAGGATGAGAAAATTTAAATTTTTAGATTGTTGGTGGTGACTCTTTTGTTGTCTACTTATAGAAATGACAACGGAGTTCAAGAAAATTGATGAATTATAGATATTTGTGTAAATATTTAAAATTAATTTTTTTATATTTTTTTTAAAATCATTCTTAAATGTATGCTACACATAGATCGTTGCTAAAATAAAAGTATAGAAACACCGTCAGGTCACAGGACTCTATGTTATAGCTCCTTATAAAAAATATTGTAAAAGTTATGCGAAAAAAGTGATTTATAAAATTATTTCAATGTCTCAGATATAAATCGTTTTTACAATTGATGGAAGATTTTTTCAAAACACATCCAAAACATCATGAATCTTTTTTTTTCTCGCTTAAACTGCAAAAAATGAACTTACCGCCTTGCCCCCAAGTGCAGGATAATGTTATAAACGCTAGACACAGAGTCCAGGCCAGTCTGTGAGTGCAGCCATATAAAGTTGAAACAAAGACGCCTGGGTTAGCGTGCATTCCTTGGTTCCACTTGTAAGTCAAAGTCATCATAGTAAAGAATGTCATAAATGACAAAAGCCAGCCTATGGCATTGATGTGCTGATTAAAAAGAGTTTAACTTAGTCTGCAGTTATAATGAACAGTTTTATTATGAGTCAAAATTTCCTGAAATATTATTGTATGAAACTATATGCATGAATACTGTATACTGAAACTAATGCGTTTTTTAAAGTGTTAAATTTGAAGTGATTTTAATTTTTTTTAAATTTATTTTGTTATCAATTTGTGTATCCTGAAGAAAAACAAGCAAGACCAGTTTGAATTTAATATTATTTGATTTAACGAGACCAGTTAGAATGTGATATAATATAATTTAATGTAATCTAGCTATCACTGGTTCTACTATATTAATGCAAATTTAGAATATACAACTTGCGAATTTAATCATATTACGGCAATTAACATGTTAACCCCTTGGGGACGGGTGTTTCAGGAAAGCATTCGTGCAAAATCAGAATCAAGTTGTAATTAAATAAAAAACGGTAACTTAAATGTAGTCGTTGCTAATTTGACACCCTTACTTTGCTTTTACTTTAATTATTGTTAGTTTAATCATATATATAATCAATGTTAATTCAAAGTACAACTAAATAGTTTTATTTTGAACAAAGTAATGGTGAATTAAATAAATCAAACAATTATAACTCCTCCCACAAATAAACTGCTAAGGAAATACTTTGATTACCAGTTTTATATTTTTACCCTGATTGATACGGCTTTATGCTGTCACGTATTTGTGACAGTCGGCACGAAAGGGTTAAACAATCTTTTCTGAAACTAAACTTAAACTTTTTGGCTATGAAATTATTTGGTCAAATTAGATTTTTAAAACTGTAGGTCGTTGAAAATTGAGAGTGAGAAAATTGAGATATTTTTTTCAGTGGCGTAGCGAGGGGTGGGCAAGG